TGCATGGCTGTGCACAGCATAGCCATGCAAAGCAGTATGATTACAGTGAAGCACACACACAGCACCATTAGTAAAACAGCACACAGTTAACCTTTTGACCACCCCACATGTTAACCCCTTCCTGCCCAGTGTCATTAGTACAGTGTCAGTGCTTTTTTTTAACACTGATCACTGTATTGGTGTCACTGGGGATGTCAGTGACACCAAGTTAGTTCCCCCCCAGTGTCAGAATGTCCGCCGCAGTCCTGCAATAAATTGCTGAACACCACCATTACTAGTTAAAATTGGGAAAAAAAAAAAACATTATCTATACCGCCATTTGTAAATGCTATAACTTTCACGTAAAATAATTAATTTACACGTATTGTGCTTTTATTTTTTGCAAAGACATGGAGCAGAATACTTGTTTGCCTAAATGTATGACAAAATTAATTTTTTTTTGTTTTTTTACTGGACATGTTTAACCACTTCCAGACTGGACACTTTTACCCCCTTCCTGACCAGGGCAATTTTCAGCTTTCAGCGCTATCACTCTTTGAATGACAATTGCGCGGTCGTGTTTTTTTTTTTTATAAAATTTTGCAAATAAATAATATTTCATCATAAATCTTTGCCAAAATTTATTCCGTTATCTTTTTAGTAAACAAAAAAAATCCAAATTAGTTTATAACCAAAAATTATAATTTTTTAAACATTTTTTTTTACATTTTTATTTTATTTTTTTATAGTATTATTTTTTATTTTTATTTTTTTTTTTTTACATACTGTCACCCTAGCAGTACAGTGTCACCATGGTGACACTGTACTACTTGTGGGGGGTGATGAAGATTTTTTTTTTTTTTTTACACTGATTGCTTTTACACCCATATAGGGTGTAAAAGCAATCATTCTCTTTCTCTCTGTCTGCATTCTTGCAGTCATTGAGAAGTACTGAGTGAGCTGTGATTGGTCACAGCTTGTCACATGGTACAAGGCTGTTGTGGATAGCCTTGTACCATGTGACCTCTGTGATCATTCGCAGATTTCACACGTAGTAAGCAATGATGTCACATGTGACATCTTGCTTACTACTTTGCATGTGATCACTGATTGGCCAATCAGTGATCACATGATCGGGACCTCGTACAGATCAGTGTTTCACTGTGTCCGGAGAGAACACAGCGGGCACCGTATCGCGGTGCTGCGCGCTCCGAGGGAGCGCGCACAAGCAGGATGCGGGGAGGCCGTTTATAAACGGCCACCCGACTCTGCACTGCCACCGTCCGGCTGTTTATATGCAACGGCCGGTCGGGAAGTGGTTAAAGGGGGGGAGATAGTTAAGATTTCTAACGTTAGCAGAACTTGTCTCATACAGTTGTGACCAAAATTATTCAACCCCCAATGCTGTAAAGGGGTTTAGGGGACTATAGTGTACATTTGGAATTGTATTCAGAATCAAATCCTACAAGGACGTTTGTAACTACCCAAATGCAACTAAAATGACATCAATTGTTTATGTAATACAGTAGTAAATGGTTCTTATGTGGTTTTCTTCATTGCCACAATTATTCAACCCCTTAAAGACTACCACTCTGAAGAACAGAGGTTCATACAGGTGCTTTCCATCAGGTATTGAAAACACCTGTGGATGTCACCGAGCAGCAATCAAGCATAATAAGCACCAATTAGGCAGCTTTAAAATGACTGTGATACTCAGCTCCTTCTAGACATTTACTGGTGTGGTTACAAACATGGTGAAGGCAAGAGAATGGTCCAGGAAGACAAAGAGAAGAGGTGATTTCTCTTCACAGGAAGGGCAATGGCTATAAGAAGATTGCAAAGATGTTAAACATACCAAGAGACACCTTAGGAAGCATCATTCGCAAATTCAAGGCAAAGGGCACTGTTGAAACGCTACCTGGTCGTGGCAGAAAGAAGATGCTGACTTCGACTGCTGTGCGCTACCTGAAGCGTAGAGTGGAGAGAAGTCCCCGTGTGACTGCTGAGGAACTGAGAAAAGATTTGTCAGATGTGGGTACAGAAGTTTCAGCCCAGACAATAAGACGCACACTGCGTAATGAAGGCCTCCGTGCCAGAACTCCCAGGCGTACCCCCTTGCTGTCTCCAAAGAATAAGAAAGAGTCGACTGCAGTATGCCAAAAGCCATGTGGACAAACCACAAAAGTTGTGGGATAGTGTTCTGTGGACTGATGAAACAAAATTAGAACTGTTTGGGCCCATGGATCAACGCTATGTTTGGAGGAGGAAGAACAAGGCCTATGATGAAAAGAACACCTTGCCTACTGTGAAGCATGGTGGAGGGTCAATCATGCTTTGGGGCTGTTTTGCTTCTGCAGGTACAGGGAAGCTTCAGCGTGTGCAAGGTACCATGAATTCTCTTCAGTACCAGGAGATATTGGATGGAAACGTGATGCAGTCCGTCACACACCTGAGGCTTGGGAGACGTTGGACCTTTCAACAGGACAATGATCCCAAGCATACCTCCAAGTCCACTAGAGCATGGTTGCAGAGGAAAGGCTGGAACATTTTGGAGTGGCCATCGCAGTCACCAGACTTAAATCCGATTGAGAACCTCTGGTGGGACTTAAAGAAAGCAGTTGCAGTGCGCAAGCCTAAGAATGTGACTGAACTGGAGGCCTTTGCCCATGAAGAATGGGCGAAGATACCCGTAGATCGCTGCAAGACACTTGTGTCAAGCTATGCTTCACGTTTAAAAAGCTGTTATAACTGTAAAAGGATGCTGTACTAAGTACTAAGATTGAATGTCACTTGGGGGTTGAATAAAACTGATAATGCTGTGAGCACAGAAAAGACATTTGTGGTTATTTCATTATAACTGTTATGTTATATTTGTCTGACCTACAAGTGCCTCTTTAATGTAAATGTAAGCAAGATGACTGAATGATCAAAAGCAATGTCAAAACTGGCCAAAACACTCAATTTCAGTGGGGGTTGAATAATTTTGGTCACAACTGTATTTTATGTTTTGCTATGTGAATGGGAGAATGTAACAACCAGAGAGTAGGTGTTTGTCTCAATTTGGGTTTAAAAGTAGAAATTCACTTTAAAGCGAAGCTCCACCCAAAAGGGGTGGAGCCTTTGGAGATTTTGCACACCCCTGCCGCATCTGCAGCAGTATTTCTGCTATAGGGCGGCACGGAAGCAGTTAATGACCACCTTAGTCAGCCACAGAACCTGTGTCAAAGCGGCGTTCCTCCCAAAAGGGGAAGTTCCGCTTTAAAGATTGGTCCCCCGATCCGCATTAAGGATTGGCACCTTTGGGGAGCGGGTACCCAAATTTGACAGGTACCCGCTCCCACTTCTGCTGTAATCGCCTAGGCCAGTGGTCGGCAAGCCGCGGCTCGCGAGCCACATGTGGCTCTTTACACGCTTTAATGCGGCTCTTGTGTGCCGGGCGCCCGCTCCCCTCCCTCCTCTCGGGCAGCAGGGACTCTGCAGCGTGATCCAAAAAAAAAAAACAGCCAGGGCAGCGCGCTCAAATGCAATGATTGGCCAGTCTTGCTGCCACTCACATCCTGATAGCCAGTGATTGGCTGTCAGGATGTGTGTAGGCGGGGCAGCATGACGAACGTGAGAGGAGCTAGGCTCCTCTCACAGTCCACCCTGAAGACCGGAACGGCGCGGGAACACGGCGAGAGGAACGCGCGGAGCAAAGGTAGGTGAATTGACACAGGGGGGACTTGGCTTACTACTTGCTACTTACTTACTACTACTATATGAGGGATGAATTAATATGGGGGATGAATTACTATGGGGGATGAATTACTTTGGGGGATGAATTACTATGGGGGATGAATTACTATATGGGGGATGAATTACTATGGGGGATGAATTACTATATGGGGGATGAATTACTATGGGGGATGAATTACTATAGGGGGGATGAATTACTATGGGGGATTAATTACTATATGGGGGATGAATTACTATATGGGGGATGAATTACTATGGGGGATTAATTACTATATGGGGGATGAATTACTTTTGGGGATGAATTACTATATGGGGGATGAATTACTATGGGGGATGAATTACTATATGGGGGATGAATTACTATGGGGGATGAATAATTATATGGGGGATGAATAATTATATGGGGGGGATGAATTACTATGGGGGATGAATTACTATATGGGGGATGAATTACTATGGGGGATGAATTACTATATGGGGGATGAATTACTATATGGGGGATGAATTACTATATGGGGGATGAATTACTATGGGGGATGAATTACTATGGGGGATGAATTACTATATGGGGGATGAATTACTATATGGGGGATGAATTACTATGGGGGATGAATTACTATAAAAACTTATTGAAACTAAAAACAGTGTACCATCCTATGTATTTTCAGTTTTAAAAATGTGGCTCTCAAAATAAATTTCAATCGTGGTTTTGGCAAGATTTGGCTCAGTTGAAAAAAAAGGTTGCCCACCACTGGCCTAGGCCGATGCATTGCATAGATTACAAAACTGACAGTTACAGATATGACTTGCAGAGGCATGATGGAACTTGTAGTCCTGCAGCTCTCAGGTTGCCTACCTCTGGCCTAGGCGGTGCCTACAGGACCATTCACAAAGTGCAGAGCTTCTCGCACATGCTCAGTGGGCACCCAGCTGTGAAGCCGCAAACTGTCACATCTGGGTGCCCACACTGAAGATGCCGTCGGCAGGGAGAGGAGACGGCCGGTGAAACCAGCTGTGGTGAGGACACTGCTGGACCGAGGGACAGGCAAGTGGCTGTATTTTAAAAGTCAACAGCTACAGTTTTTGTAGCTTCCGACTTTTATTTTTTGAAAGGGTGAGCGGATTCCGCTTTAGGATTCCATATAAACATTTTTTACAAAAACTGAACTACTATTCTCAAAATATTTTACAGGTAAACAGATCATCATCAACACACAATGAGTCAAGCAGGAGACAAGCCGTATCAAAGCTCTGATAGGATTCACACAGAGAGAGAAACAATTTAAATGTTCAGAATGTGGCAAGTGCTTCTCAACGAGAGTAAATCTTGCTCAACACCAAAAGGTTCACACGGGAAAAAAGCAATTTTCTTGCTCAGAATGTGAAAAAGTTTTTCCATGGAAAACATTTCTAATCCGTCACCAGAGGATTCACACTGAAAAGGACCAATTTAAATGTTCAGAATGTGGCAAGTTCTTTGCAAGAAGGGGATATCTTGCTATACATGAAATGATTCACACGGGAGAGAAGCCGTTTTCTTGCTCAGAATGTGAACAAGTCTTTGCATGGAAATCATCACTAATCAGTCACCAAAGGATTCACACAGGAAAGAAACCATTTAAATGCTCAGAATGTGGCAAGTGCTTCTCACGCAGAGAAACACTTGTGAGACATGAACAGATTCACACCGGAGAGAATGTATTTTCTTGCTCCGAATGTGAAAAAGTGTTTTTCTCTAAGCAGTCGCTAATCGCACACCAGAGGATTCACACAGGAGTGAAGCCATTTAATTGTTCAGAATGTGACAAATGTTTCTCTGAAAAGTGTAGTCTTGTTGAACACCTGAGAACCCACACAGGAGAGAAGCCGTTTAAATGTTCAGAATGTTACAAATGTTTCTCTACAAAGTCTTATCTTGTTTCACACCTGAGAACCCCCACACAGGAGAGAAGCCATTTAATTGTTCAGAATGTGATAAATGTTTCTCTGCAAAAAGAAGTCTTGTTAAACACCTGAGAACCCACACAGGAGAGAAGCCGTTTAAATGTTCAGAATGTGACAAGTGCTTCTCACAAAGGGCACAGCTTAATCAACATGAAAGTATTCACACCGGAGAGAAGCCGTTTTTCTGCTCTGAATGTGACAAATGTTTCTGTTCTAAGAAAAATCTTATTAGACATCTGAAGATCCACACAGGAGAGAAGCCGTTTAAATGTGCAGAATGTGGCAAGTGCTTCTCACAAAAGTCACATCTTAATCTACATGAAACGATTCACACAGGAGAGAAGCCATTTAAATGTTCCCAATGTGGCAAGTGCTTTTCACAGAAGGCATCACTAATTGGTCACCAGAGGATTCATACCGATTAGATGCCTTAGGCTCCATGTACACGGGACACTTCTAAATGATGAAAACTGACTGCTGGAAAACGTAGGTTAAAAAACGTCTGTTTAGCCGTGTTTGCATAACAGTTAATACTTTACCACTTGTCAGTGCATTCTGGGCAGCATTTTCCAGCAGTCAGATTCCATCATTCAGATGTGCGTTTAGAAGCATTTTTTAAAGATAAGCACAGGAGAACCTCCCAAATGCCCACAATGCACTGAAAAGTGGTAAATTATTAACTATTTCAGACTGTTTCAGAGAAATACAGAGAGTAGAAGCAGAGACAGCAGTATGTGTTGAGATAATTAGGTGTGAGTTGCTCACTAACATATCTTTTGTTTCCAAGGGTGGGAGAGGTGTCTGGTGGAGGGAGTCATTAAGGTCACCTGGCAGGGGGTCTTCATGAGGAATTTGAGGTGTGAATTTTCATTAACATTTCTTTTGTTTCCAAGGGTGGGAAAGGTGTCTGGTGGAGGGAGTCATTAAGGTCACCAGGCAGGGGGTCTTCATGAGGAATTTGAGGTGTGAATGGTCATTAACATTTCTTTTGTTTCCAAGGGTGGGAAAGGTGTCTGGTGGTGGGAGTCATTAGGGTCACCTGGCAGGGGGTCTGCATGAGGAATTTGAGGTGTGAATGGTCATTAACATTTCTTTTGTTTCCAAGGGTGGGAAAGGTGTCTGGTGGACCAAGTCATTAAGGCCACCTGGCAGGGGGTCTTCATGAGGAATTTGAGGTGTGAATGGTCATTAACATTTCTTTTGTTTCCAAGGATGGGAAAGGTGTCTGGTGGTGGGAGTCATTAGGGTCACCTGGCAGGGGGTCTGCGTGAGGAATTTGAGGTGTGAATGGTCATTAACATTTCTTTTGTTTCCAAGGGTGGGAAAGGTGTCTGGTGGATCAAGTCATTAAGGCCACCTGGCAGGGGGTCTTCATGAGGAATTTGAGGTGTGAATTTTCATTAACATTTCTTTTGTTTCCAAGGGTGGGAAAGGTGTCTGGTGGATGGAGTCATTAAGGTCACCTGGCAGGGGGTCTTCACTAGGAATTTGAGGTGTGAATGATCATTAACATTTCTTTTGTTTCCAAGGGTGGGAAAGGTGTCTAGTGGGGGGAGTCATTAAGGTCACCTGGCAGGGGGTCTTCATGAGGAATTTGAGGTGTGAATTTTCATTAACATTTCTTTTGTTTCCAAGGGTGGGAAAGGTGTCTGGTGGACCAAGTCATTAAGGCCACCTGGCAGGGGGTCTTCATGAGGAATTTGAGGTGTGAATGGTCATTAACATATCTCTTGTTTCTAAGGGTGGGAGAGGTTTGAGGTGTGAATTGGTCATTACAATGTGCGACATGCTTGGTAGGAACATCCTGTGTTCAGTGTTTTGTCCATCTGAGTACCTTGAAAACGCTTTGCATGCATTTTTCATGATGAAAAAAGGCTCTGGACAGCATCAGGAACTGGAAGAGATAAAAAAAAATTTCAGACGCAAACGCTTATAAACGTGATTTGCCGCATTTACAAGCGTTTTGCATTTGAAACGCTGATAAAATCGACTGCTGAAAGTTTTCTGTGTTCAAGAAAATGACTGTAAACTCAAATGCCTGTAAATGACTGTAAATGAAGATGTGTACATGGACACATAGGAAAACATTAGGGAGCGCTCAGGGGCTGCTGAAAAAAAACGCAGAAAAGATCCTAAACGTGAGTTTATCAGCTGCAGTGTACATGAGCCCTTATAGATGTTAACAATGTGGCTGATGTTTCTTTAAGGATACTCGTTATTCAACATCAAAAAAACAAAAGACCTTCTAGATAAAATGCCATCCATTTGAAACTCTGACAACCACTTATCAACCTGCCAAATCATGTGACAACAAATCCCTAGACTGAGATTCCACTCTACCAAAGTATAAGAGAAAGAATTGAAACAGAATAATACAAACGTTACCTAACCATGACACAGAAACCCATGCATTTGTTTTCGAAATTTTGGCCAAGAAGATACTACATTTTGTGATACTTTATCAACCCGTTCTAATATAACCTGTAGGAGGGCAAAAGCTGTGAAGGACATGTTGGTCTTTACCCGGTATATAAAGAAACAACAATTCCCGTCTTCATGGTTGAAGGTTTGTGTTTTCATGCTTGAAAACCATGGATTTTTAGGAATTTCAGACAAATTTGCAAGAAGATCTAATGCCTTTGATATTTCATCGACAAATCCAATAACCTATAGGAGGGCAAAAACTGTGAAGGACATGCTGGTCCATACCCAGTGTAATAGGAAGCAAGAAATACATTATTAAGTACAGTTTCCAGTTTCTGTTAGAGGACCATATATGTATGGACATTGTAAGACTTGTATTTTCACAGTTAAAAAAGTATTTCAGGACCTTAAAGCGGAGTTCCACTCACCTGTCAAAAAATATAAGTCAGCAGCTACAAAAACTGTAGCTACTGACTTTAAAAAAACAGCCACTTACCTGTCCCGCGGTCCCACGGTGTGTCCCCCACTGCCCGTTTCAATGGCCATCCTGTATTCCAGGAGGCCAGCATCTTCAGTGTGGGCAGCCGGCTGTGATAGCTTGCGGCTTCACAGCCGGGTACCCACTGCGCATGCGCGAGTAGCTCTTCGCTTCATGAATGGTCCTGTAGTCTTCTGGGACCTGTCGCGTGTCCCAAAAGACTACAGTGAGGGAGGAAGGGAGGACACCTTCCGTTTCCGATCACCTATGTGATCGGACCGGAAGTGGGAGCGGGTACCTGTCAAATTTGGGTACCCGCTCCCCCTCCCCACCCCACAAAGCTGGGAGCGGGGGAGCAGTCCTTAAAGCGGAACTTCCCCTTTTGGGTGGATCTCCGCTTTAAGGTGGGGGGGATAGTTTGAGATTCAAGATTTCATACACTGCAGTACATTAGGAAACGGGTATCTCGCATAACATGCCTTGTGGTACACTGCATTGCTAAAGAAAATTGGGTAAGGGGCATTTTTGTCCTTTTTGGTATATTGGCAGCCCATTTATTATCAGTAGGTTGCCTTGACAAAGGACAAATTAATGCAAAATACGTTGACCTCAAATGACTTTAGATATGTTAGCATTCAGAGATTAATATTGCTATGTCAACTTCTCCACAAAACATGTGACCTGAATCCATTATGTTATATGAAAATACAGTAAACTTGCAAATTCACTAGAGAGATGATAATTTCACTTGTATAAACGATCTCCTAAGCAGCATTGCTCCTATTTGCGTACCATTTGTAAACAAATGTGCTGAGAGTGCACGCCCTGCGTGTTCCCAGCACGTGTCGGTGTCCCCACGGAAAGGTCCCAATCTCTCCTTGCGATCGGGACCTTTCCAGTCACGTGACTGCCGTGACGGCCAATCACGGCAGTCACATGACCCTAAACCACGTCCTGCCTCCCGGCTTCGGAAACCCCTTAAAGGGCTGGGAGGCGCTGGTGTGAAGGGGTTAAAGAGTAACTCCAAGTTTTAAAACAATGCATATACTGTATATTTGGAAAAAATTTGGATTTTGTTAAATTTTTGTAAGAGAGCCTGTAAAGCATTGCAACTGAGATCAGTGGGTACAATACCAGGCTCCTGTAGACTCTTCCTCCAGCTACCTGTCTGTACTGAGGTACGGACTTTCAATTAGAGAACTGAAGAAAGTGTCAGTGGTATCAGGAACCATAACACCCACTGGTGGCATTGTAGTCTTCCAACCTGTCTACCAGTCAGTGTTTCCCATAAGTCAGAAGATCCCAGGAATTAGTCTGAACCTGATGCTGGTTGTTGGGAGGGTATTCAGCCCCTTCTTTAGCTTATCAGTGTGCCTTAGAGATTTTCCATGTGTGCCAAACATCCTGATCTCATTGCTCCTGTATTGATCCTGCTTCTGTACCTGTTACCCTGACCATTGATGTCTTGTACCAGTTCCCCTGACCCCGCTGTCTCTACCTCAACCTCTTTCCCTTGTATTTGATTCAAGCTTTGTCCCCCTTCCTGACTTGCCTCAGCCGCTGTTCCTTGTACCTCCTGCCTGATCCTGCCTTACCTTCCCTTGCTTGTATATAGTTTATCATAGTTAATCTGTTAGTTATCTAGTTTATTAGTGGGTTTCATTTATCACGTGTTTCACTTTTGCTTTGTATTCTGTTTGTAGTGTTGGGTGTTTTTTTGCTGTTTTATTAATAAATCTTATTACAATTGCAATTCATTGGGTCCAGTCTCCTTCGTACAGCTACACATCTCTGATCACTCCTGCTTTTGCTGGATATCAGCACTTAATAATGTAATAATAACAGGACTACAAGTGCAATGACCACTACACTTGTGTTCTATTAAGAACTACAACTTCTAGTTCATGGGTGTAACATGGGGCAAAAGGAGGATTTAGCCTTTAAGCAGGATGAGGCTGACTCCAGGTAAACTCTTATTTTGTGTAAATATCTTACACTTGGGAAACTTGGATAATTTAGAGTGGCGACCACATTTATCAGAGGTGCCTTGATACAGCAGTGTGGCCTTCCCATAGATTAGCAAATTTATGCAATTAAATCCTTTGTATTTATCCTGAGTAGTTAAGGAGATTAGTTTTTTTTCTGGATAGCTTGAATGGGTACCCATTGTATATGGTTCAAAAGTTTTCCCTGCCATCTTCTCATTCTCCAACCACACTATCCTCTCCCTGCCATCATCTCCTTCTCTCACCACACTGTCCTCTCCCTGCCATCTTCTCCTTCTCTCACCACACTGTCCTCTCCCTGCCATCATCCCCTTCTCTCACCACACTGTCCTCTCCCTGCCATCTTCTCCTTCTCTCACCACACTGTCCTCTCCCTGTCATCATCCCCTTCTCTCACCACACTGTCCTCTCCCTGCCATCTTCTCCTTCTCTCACCACACTGTCCTCTCCCTGCCATCATCCCCTTCTCTCACCACACTGTCCTCTCCCTGCCATCTTCTCCTTCTCTCACCACACTGTCCTCTCCCTGCCATCATCCCCTTCTCTCACCACACTGTCCTCTCCCTGCCATCTTCTCCTTCTCTCACCACACTGTCCTCTCGCTGCCATCTTCTCCTTCTCTCACCACACTGTCCTCTCCCTGCCATCTTCTCCTTCTCTCACCACACTGTCCTCTCGCTGCCATCTTCTCCTTCTCTCACCACACTGTCCTCTCCCTGCCATCATCCCCTTCTCTCACCACACTGTCCTCTCCCTGCCATCTTCTCCTTCTCTCACCACACTGTCCTCTCCCTGCCATCTTCTCCTTCTCTCACCACACTGTCCTCTCGCTGCCATCTTCTCCTTCTCTCACCACACTGTCCTCTCCCTGCCATCTTCTCCTTCTCTCACCACACTGATCTCTCTCTGCAATCTTCTCCTTCTCTCACCACACTGTCCTCTCCCTGCCATCTTCTCCTTCTCTCACCACACTATCCTCTCCCTGCCATCTTCTTCTTCTCTCACCACACTGTCCTCTCCCTGCCATCTTCTCCTTCTCTCACCACAATGTCCTCTCCCTGCCATCTTATCCTTCTCTCACCACAATGTCGTCTCCCTGCCATCTTCTTCTCTCACCACACTGTCCTCTCCCTGCCATCTTCTCCTTCTCTCACCACAATGTCCTCTCCCTGCCATCTTCTCCTTCTCTCACCACAATGTCCTCTCCCTGCCATCTTATCCTTCTCTCACCACAATGTCGTCTCCCTGCCATCTCCTTCTCTCACCACACTGTCCTCTCCCTGCCATCTTCTCCTTCTCTCACCACACTGTCCTCTCCCTGCCACCTTCTCATTCTCCCACCACACTGTCCTCTCCCTGCCATCTTCTTCTTCTCTCACCACATTGTCCTCTCCCTGCCATCTTCTTCTTCTCTCACCACACTGTCCTCTCCCTGCCATCTTCTCATTCTCCCACCACACTTTGAGAACGTGCTTTGTCAGGAAGCTGCCCTCAGTGACATACCACGTGGCCTACCCTATATGGCCAGCGGCCATCTTTGTTATTGTACATACTAAGTGTGAGTGTATTTCTTTTTATATTTCGATATACTTTAATCTTATTAAAGCAGTTTTGCACTATGGAAATCTTTGTGCTTGGGCTCATTTTGTTATGAGCCTTCCCTTTCAAGGAGACCATTGATGAAATCCACAAGTGTTGGCTCCCCCTGGTGTTCTTGGATTGCACTCCTGTTACCTGGAAGCCCTGATTATTTACTAAGAACTTTACTACAACTTTTTGGGTTATTTCATCCACCCGAGACGATGATATTCTTATGACTCAATACTAAGGTCACATTGAGAATTTTTAATGATTTGTAATGATATTTAACATTGTATTTTATAGTGCTGCATGTTGTATATATATGTTTTCCCAGAAGGTTCAGGGGTGTTGCCTTTCATGCTAGCTGCTTTTTGCACGTAGATCCAGCGCTTGTTTTTTATTATAATACTATACACTGTCCTCTCCCTGCCATGCTCTCCTTCTCTCACCACACTGTCCTCCCTGCCATCTTCTTCTCTCACCACACTGTCCTCTCCCTGCCATGCTCTCCTTCTCTCACCACACTGTCCTCTCCCTGCCATGCTCTCCTTCTCTCACCACACTGTCCTCCCTGCCATCTTCTTCTCTCACCACACTGTCCTCTCCCTGTCATGCTCTCCTCTCACCACACTGTCCTCTCCCTGCCATCTTCTCTCACCACACTGTCCTCTCCCTGCCATGCTCTCCTCTCACCACACTGTCCTCTCCCTGCCATGCTCTCCTTCTCTCACCACACTGTCCTCCCTGCCATCTTCTCCTTTTCTCACCACACTGTCCTCCCTGCCATCTTCTCTCACCACACTGTCCTCTCCCTGCCATGCTCTCCTTCTCTCACCACACTGTCCTCTCCTTGTCATCTTCTCCTCTCACCACATTGTGCTCTCCCTCTGTCACTGCACTGTCAGGTGTCAAGAAAAAGCCATCAGGTAGACACTGATGTCCCAGCTGGACTTAGCTGGGAGGCTATTTGCAAGCTTGAATTCAGGGATCAAGCTGAGTTTGGAGAAGCTCACAAGAGAGAGCCAGGAGGAAGTTAGTGGGAAGGGGTCCAGCCGTCCTATGGTGGTGTGAGTCTACATCTCCCTCACTAGGAAGAGCCTGGTGGATATCGGCAGGAGGCACCTGATGATCCTGTGGCTGTGTGAGTAAATGACCCTGATGCTGGACGTACAGTGACTGTTTGTAGCTTTTAAACCCCCCGAATGAGTACTAGTCACATCAGCATAGAGATACTGTGGGACATTCCTTACACTACAGTGAAGCCAAAAAGCTAAGGCGTCCTCAGGTTATTTAGTTCTACAGTTTATTGGGATATCCCATGCTCCCTCATCCTATCCAAGTTCATTGTTTCCAGTAAAATCCAAAAAGGAGACCCCAAGAGTATTCTTTAGAGCCAGTGGAAAAAATAAGAAAATGCTATGTGTCTGGCTGTGTATGCTCTAAGTTGGGAAATAGGACTTACCAGTGTTCTTATGGAGTTCACTAGTGGCTCTTATGGAGGTGTGCTACATGTATACAGAGAGAGATAGAGGGAGATAGAGAGTTAAGTTGATACATTGATCACCAGGGAACTTTTCTCAGTCAGCGGCTGCAGGTGTGTTCAGTGCATTCTGGCAGCGGTGGGTCCCACTGTCAGAATACAATATCCGATATGTGGATAGAGGGCTGTAAATAAGATACAGTTTTAGCTGTATACAGAGGTGACTCTAGGCTTTGTGAGGCCTTAGGCAAAATTTAGACATGAGGCCCAGGGGCAGACTGACAACTCATGGGGCCCCCGGGCAATAGGGGATCATGGGGCCCAAACTCAAAAAAGCTTATGAAAAAGGTACCAGGGGCATCTCATGGGGCCCCCTACTGACCCTGGGCCCTTGGGCAGTGCCCGAGTTTCCAAATGGTCAGTCCGCCCCTGATGAGGCCCCACTCATGCCCATCCATCTGTTCATCAGCTATACAGCAGGCCTTCCCAGATTGAGATCCTCAGTAGGCCTTCCCAGCTGGAGATCCTTGTGCGGTGGATGGGAGAGGTGACGTGCAACATCACTTCCCATTGGCTGGTGGGCAGAGCTCCAGAAGTCTGAGGTCTCATACACACTGCTGCTCATAAATGTGAGTTCAAGTGCTTTTGATGGGTTTTTTTTTTTGCCAAAGCCCCTGAACTCAACTCAATAAAAGCCTATGTGTCCATGCACACATAGACTTTTATCAGAGTTTAACAGCAGCAGAGTTTAGGGCCAGTTAAATGTCCCTCTCCTGAACAAAGAAGAATCATGTTCAAGAGAGGAACATTTTGGGAAAAAAACCCTAAGCGTGGCAAAAATGCATGTAAACACACCTAAGTGCTAACCGCATTTAGCACTTTGGTGTTTACTCATTTTAATGGCAAGTACTCTGGCCAGTGTCCAAACGCTAATCGCGTTTAGCATTTTTCTGCTCCCAGCAACAAAACATTTCAGAGTACATGGAACCTGAGGTTACACGAGAGGTGAGTGTGACGGGGCTCTAAACACTGCCTGTGCACAGCAGTGTTAGGGTCCCCTGTTCCTCACAACTGGGGTAATGCACTAGGCCAGAGGCATAACTAGAACATTTAGGGCACTGATGCAAAAAAAAACCATGAAGCCCAGGGCCCTTCCCTCCTAGCCCAGGGACCTTTTCTCCTGTTGCAGGACCTTTTTTTTTATTGTCCTGCAGTGGGACCCTTTCACATGTTCTGCAGCGGACCCTCTTCTTGCCATTACATTAGAGTTCCCTCTGACAAGGGCCAAATTGTAATGGATAGATGATTGGGTCAGAGCATCCCCAAACCTACAGCTCTTGTGGGATGTTCCCGGTCTGCAGTGGTCAAGACCTACCAAAAGTGGTCCAAGGAAGGAAAAGCGGCAATCCCGTGACAGTGTTTGCCATACACATTCCTCTGTGAACACATCTAAGTGGCTGAATAACATACCCTTATCCTAAATAAATATTATAAAAGCCTCCAGAGATAGTAATCCAGTGGATCCTCATTTCATTAGAAAACATCCCACAGGATTACCTTCAGATCCCAAGTTAATCCTTCTTTCTACTCATGCCTTCATTTCTCTCCATGCTATTCCTCCATTGTATGTTTTGATCACCCCTTACCAGCATCCTGATTACTTCCATACCTCATGCTAATGTCCTGATCACTGCCATATCCCAAACCAGTATCCTGATCACCTCATACCAGCATCCTGATCACCCCATACCAGCATCCCGATCACTGCCATATCCCAAACCAGTATCCTGATCACCTCATACCAGCATCCCAATCACTGCCATACCCCATATCAGTGTCCTGATCACCCCATACCAGTGTCCTGATCACCGCCGTACCTCATGCTAACATCCTGATCACCACCATACCCCATACCAGTGTCCTGATCACCACCATACCCCATACCAGCATCCTGAACACTGCCATACCCCATACCAGTGTCCTGATCACCTCACACCAGTGTCATGACCACCACCATATCCCATGGCAGCGTTCTGATCACCACATACACCATACCAGTGTCCTGATCACCCCATACCAGCATCCTGATCACTGCCATACCAGTGTCCTGATCACCTCACACCAGTGTCCTGATGACCGCCATACCCCATGCTAACGTCCTGATCACCACCATACCAGTATCCTGATCACCGCCATATCTCATGCTAACGTCCTGATCACCATTATACCAATGTCCTGATCACCCCATACCTCATGCTAAAGACCTGATCACCGCCATATCCCATGCCATCGTTCTGATCACCCCATACACCATACCAGTATCCTGATTACCTCATACCAGCATCCTGATCACTGCCATACCCCATACCAGTGTCCTGATCACCCCATACCAGCATCCTGATCACCGCCATACCCCATACCAGTGTCCTGATCACCCCATACCCCATACCAGTGTCCTGATCACCCCATACCAGTGTCCTGATCACCTCGTACCAGTGTCCTGATCACCACCATATCTCATGCTAATGTCCGGATCACCACCATACCCCATACCAGCGTTCTGATCACCCCATACCTCATGCTAATGTCCTGATCACCACCATATCCCATGCCAGCGTTCTGATCACCACATACTCCATTACAGTGTCCTGATCACCGCCATACCTCATGCTAAAGTCCTGATCACCACCATACACCAAACCAGTGTCCTGATCACCCCATACTAGCGTTCTTATAAGCACCGTACCTCATACTAGCATCCTTATCACCGCTATACCCCATACCAGCACCCTGATCACTGCCATACCTCATACCAGCATCCTGATCGCCACCATACCCCATACCAGTGTCCTGATCACTGCCATACCTCATACCAGCATCCTGATCGCCACCATACCCCATACCAGCGTTCTGATCACCCCATACCTCATGCTAATGTCCTGATCACCGCCATATCCCATGCCAGCGTTCTGATCACCACATACACCATTACAGTGTCCTGATCACCGCCATACCTCATGCTAAAGACCTGATCACCACCATACACCAAACCAGTGTCCTGATCACCCCATACTAGCGTTCTGATAAGCACCGTACCTCATACTAGCATCCTTATCACCGCTATACCCCATACCAGCTTCCTGATCACCCCTAGCCAGTGTCCTGATCACTGCCATACCTCATACCAGTGTCTTGATCACCACCATACCCCATACCAGTGTCCTGATCACTGCCATACCTCATACCAGCATCCTGATTGCCACCATACCCCATACCAGCACCCTGATCACCCCATACCTGCGTCCTGATCACCACCATACCCCATACCAGCATCCTGATCGCCACCATACCCCATACCAGCACCCTGATCACCCCATACCTGCGTCCTGATCACCACCATACCCCATACCAGCGTCCTGATCACCCCATACCCCATACCAGCATTCTGATCACCCCATACCTGCGTCCTGGTCACCACCATACCCCATACCAGCATCCTCATCACTGCCATACCTCATACCAGCATTCTGATCACCCCATACCTGCGTCCTGATCACCACCATACCCCATACCAGCATCCTGATCACCCCATACCTGCGTCCTGATCACTGCCATACCCCACACCAGTGTCCGGCATTTTAGGGACTCAACTGATCAATTTTCAAACATATATCCCATAGTTGACTCTATAGCTTTCACAGAGACTAAATAATATACAGTGATTTGGGAAATTGTTACCCCCCAAAAATGTAGCAGAATCCATTTTGGCCTAAATGTATGTAGAAAAAAATTATGAAAAAAAGATTTTTTTTTTAAAAATTTCGGTCTTTTTTAGTTTATAGTGCAAAAAAATTAACAGAAAGTGGTGATCAAATACTACCAAAAGAAAGCTCTACCTGTTTAAAAAAAATGTTTACAATTTAAAAATGTGTAGTACGTTGCATGACCGCGTAATTGTCACTCAAAATGCGATCATGCTGAAATCTGAAAATTGGCCTGGACTGGAAGGCGGTAAAAGTGTCTGGACTTGAAGTGGCCAAACGTGGTAAAGCTTCGCATTGTAAGGAATACCCAATAAGGTGCAAGAAAAAAAAAAAAAACAAAAAACACATTTTTGATTGCACATGATTGGATGGCGGAAATCACCACATTCACTAAACTCTGGGGAAAATGAGTGCAACTGCACTTGCAAAGTGCGCAGTGTGTTTGTCTTTAGTAAATGAATCCCACAGAGAGAGAAATATAGAGATACAGAGAGAGAGAGATACGTGGAAAGACTATAGAAGGTGTGGGTATGGATGTCGGTGTCAGTGAGGGGTCTCCACCTCATCCCTGTAAACCAGAACACATATTAAAGCGGAGTTCCACTCACTCTGTAAAAAAAAAAAGTCAGCAGCTACTAAAAAACAGCCACTCACCTGTCCCACGATCCCGCGTTGCCCCCTCCGCAGCCCGTTTCATCGGCCGTCCTGTATTCCATCTTCAGTGTGGGCACCCGGCTGTGACAGCTTGTGGCTTCACAGCCGGGTGCCCACTGCGCATGCGCGAGTAGAGCTGTGCTTCCTGAATGGCCCCGGCGTCTTCTGGGACCCGTCACGTGACTTCGGGGAGGGAGGGTAGGAGGACAACTTCCGTTTCCGATCGCCTAGGTGATCGCAGTGGACGTGGGAGCGTGCACCTGTCAAATTCGGGTATCCACTCCCCCCCCGCCCCCCAAAGGTGCCAATCCTTAATGGGGAGCGGGGGGACCAATCTTTGAAGCGGAACTTCTCCTTTTGGGTGGAACTCCTCTTTAATGACACAGGTTCTGTGGCTGACTAAGGTGGTCATTAACAGCTTCCGGCATGGCCTATAGCAGAAATACTGCTGCAGGGCGGCAGGGGTGCACAAAATCACGTATGTATACACGTGATTTTGCAGTATTTACATGTGATTTTGCAGTATTAGGTGGGGGGGGGGCGCGCGCATGCCCGACCGCGCCGCCATTCGTAGCCTCGGCTGTCAGTCACCTGGTCCTGGTCAGTGATTTCTTGCTTGATTTCTCAATCATCCGGTGATCACTGAGTATCTCCAACAGGGAAAAGACCTGTATGTAAACAACACAGATCTCTCCCCTGTCAGCTCCTGCACACTGCTTTGTATGGCTCTGCTCTTATGAAGTACGTTGGACTGTCTACTCTGCAAAAAGGGGTCATTTGGGGGATATTTGTACTGTCCTGACATTTGGGGGATATCTGTACTGTTCTGACATTTGGGGGATATCTGTACTGTTCTGACATTTGGGGATATCTGTACTGTTCTGACATTCTTGGACCTCAAGAAATTAGATTGGCTGTCAGTACTTCAGGATTGATCAATATTCAGATCTATACCATAGTCTGTGAACTCTATAACTTTCCTACAAACTAAATAATACATCCTAATATGGGTTATTTTCACCAAAGACATGTAGCAGAATACATCTCGGCCTAAATTTATGAAGAACAATTATTTATTTACAAACTTTTAAACCAGAAACAAAGAAAAACGTGTTTTTTTTTTTCAAAATTTTCGGTCTTTTTTTGTTAATTTAGCAAAAAATAAAAACCCCAGCGGTGATTAAATACCACCAAAAGAAAGCTCTAGTTGTGTGAAGAAAATGATAAAATTTTAGTTTGGGTACAATGTTGTATGACCGCGCAATTGTCATTCAAAGTGTGAGACTGCTGAAACCTGAAAACTGGCCTGGGCAGGAAGGGGGTAAAATTGTCCGGTATTGAATTGGTTAATAGCAAAAAATAAAAAACTTTGCTTTTTTTTCAAAATTGTCGTGTTTTTTATTTATAGCACAAAAAATAAAAAAAGTAGAGGCGATCACCGAAAGAAAGCTCAATGCGTGGGGAAAAAAAGGGTGCAGCGTTGCACGCCCGCGCAATTGTCATTTAAAAAAAAGCAGCGCCGTAACGGAAAAATTGGCCTGGTCAGGAAGGGGGGGGGGGGGGGGGGGGGGGGGGGGGGGGGGGGGGGGGGGGGTGGGGGGGGGGGGGGGGGGGGGGGGGGGGGGGGGGGGGAAATCCTCTGGAGGGCGAGGGGTTAAGCTCACTTGGTGCCTTGTCTGCATTACATCAGCCCAGAACCATGTCATTAACATGTGTCAAATGTCTCCTAGATTGTAAGCTCCAAAGAGCAGGGCCTTCGAACCCCTCGTGTATTGTATTGTACTGTCTTGTCTCATGTTCTGTTCCCCTTTGTAATGTACAGCGCTGAGCAAACCTTTTGGAGCTATATAAACACTGTATAATAATATGTGTCGGGGGCTTACAGGCATGAGGGGGTGACCCTAGTGTCAGTGCGGGGGTAATATGTCACACTGACACACTGCCAGCAATGTGAATAGCAATGAAGGGGGAGGGGGAGCGAGGAGGAGATCACACAGGGAAGATGGCTCCTGTTGAACGCTGAGCATTGTGGGAAATGTAGTGTCCATGACCTGAGTTGTATTCCACTTCCTGTGTATACCAGGCTGTCTGGACAACACAGGCGGCCATTTCAAACAGAGCCATGAGGAGAGGAGGAGGTTGTCTGTGAACAGTAAGTATGTCCCTGTACCTCAGCATCCCTGGGGAAGTCCTGCACATTCCCCGCCATGACGTGTGCGGTGTCACCCTTCACAGGGGGGAATGTGACCCTCAGGCCTGCTTCTTATTCCTAGTACACGGGATGAGAAAATTGCACGAATAATCCCACTTTCAGAGCGATCGTCCGATAATCTGATCATTAGTACGCAGCTTTGCAGAGCCGGGCCGTTCATGCGGGATTCTCCCCGAGGGGCGAGCACAGCCATTGTTCTGGTAGGATATCCGAACGGTTGTCGTGTTATCGGTGCAATGTACAGAGTTCGTCTGTAATAGATCGAGGGACCCAGACCGCGCATGTTCAGGAACTTCCTGCCAATGTTTCACTTTTATGTGCTTTTTTTTTTATTCGTTTTTAATGCGTTTTCACTCTGCATGTTTCACTTTTTATGTGTTGTGTTTTTTTTTTTTTTTTTTTTACGCTTTTAATGCGTTTCACTTTATGTGTGTTTTTTAATTTGTTTGTAATGCATTTCATTTTATGTGCATTTTTTTTTATTGTTTTTAATGCGGTTCACTTTTTATCTGCGGTTTTTTTATTTTTTAATACGTTTTCACTGTGCTTTTTGTATTAGTTTTTTAATGCGTTTCACTTTATGTGCTTTTTCTAAAATACGTTCTTAATGTTTCACTTTTTATATGCGTTTTTTAAACGTTTTTAATGTGTTTTGCTTTATGTGCTTTTTATGTTTTTAATGTGTTTTCACTTTTTATGTGCATTTTTTATTCATTTTTAATGCGTTTCACTTTTTTGTGCTTTTTTTTTTTTTTTTTTTTAATGCTTTCACTTTTTTATGTGTTTTTTTTATTTGGTCACTTTTTTGTATTTTTTTTTTTTCTATTCGTTTTTAATGTGTTTTTTCACTTTTTTTATATGCCTTTTTTTTTTTTTTAACACGTTTTTCATGTTTCACTTTATGTGCGTTTTTTTTTTGATTAGTTTTTAGTGAATTTCATTTTATTCGTTTTTAATGCTTTACTTTTTATGTACGCTTTTGATTTGTTTTTTAATGCGTTTCACTTTTTATGTGCATTTTTTTTAAATTCCTTTTTATGTGCATTTTTTGATACATTTTGCTTTTTTGGGATGTGTTAATGTTGCCAGGAGGAGATGTCTGTTGCCGTGCAGGAAAAAACACACAAAACATGTAGGTGTATGCAGTTTTGATGGGGTTCTATTGAAATCTATGGAGCTGAAAAATGCACCCTGTTGATGTAAAAAAAAAATCCATGCATCTTTGCAAACATGCCCCTGTGGAATGTGCATAGATGGGAATGTGACCCATAGGAACTAATGTTACATGGACTGTAGTGACTTTCTGCAAATGCACTGAAAAATGCTTAGTTGTGACCCGGGCCTGAGGGAATACCAATACCAACCAATAGAATCTAATACTGTAGATCCGTGGTCTCCAAACTGCTGTCTGGGCGCCAGACGTGGCCCTTTGTATGCTTTTATCCAGCCCTTGGGGCAATATTTTATCCGCTGATACCAACAATGGGGTTCAAATGCCCTCCCAGTGCCGCCAACAGTGGGGTCGAATGCCCTCCCAGTGCCGCCAACAGTGGGGTCGAATGCCCTCCCAGTGCCGCCAACAGTGGGGTCGAATGCCCTCCCAGTGCCGCCAACAGTGGGGTCGAATGCCCTCCCAGTGCCGCCAACAGTGGGGTCGAATGCCCTCCCAGTGCCGCCAACAGTGGGGTCGAATGCCCTCCCAGTGCCGCCAACAGTGGGGTCGAA